TTCCATCAGAACTGATGCCAACATCAGGCAGTTAAATCAGATCATGACATCCGTCCGCAGATTGAAAGAGCAGCTAAGAAAGATGTATTAGTTTGCTAAGGCTGCCACAACAAAAGACCACAAACTAGGTGGCTTAAAACAAAAGAAATGGATTGTCTCACAGTTCTGGAGGCTAGAAGTCCAAAATTAAGGTGTCGGCAAGGTCGGTTCCCTCTGGGGCTCTGAAAGAGAATTGGTTCCAGGCCTCTCTCCTGCCTTCTGGCTGTTAGCCGCAGTCCTTTGCATTCTTTGGCTTGGAGACACATCACTCCAGTCTCTGCCTCCACCTTCACACAGCGTTCTCCCTGTGTGGCTCTCTGTGTCCAATGTCCCTCTTCTTATAAGAACACCAGTCACTGATTTAGGACCCACCTGAATTGAGGCATACCTCTTGGTCCAGCATTTGTGACAAATCTCTTTCTTCTCTGGTCCTGCAGGTGATTTTAACAAAAATATCTGTTATTCAATTGTTTAGAAAGTCTTCTGGAGGTGCAAAGGTCCTGGGGTGTACGTGAATGTGTCCTTGACAGTCCTCATTTAAAGAGAAAATCCCTAATCTGAACTCTTTAGGTTTTCAGGAAAAAAAAAAAGCGCCTGCACCTTCGAGATTTCCAGACAGTTCTCTTTGTACTGCTTGCCTGAGGAAACCTCAGAGAGTTTAGAAGGAGTGAGGGTGTTTCTGGGTATGTGTGTGTCTTTAAGAGTAAGACACGCAGATATATATGCGTGGACACCTACAGAGAAAGTCTGGGACAGGTGACCGAGTAGGCAGCAGACAGGGACCCAGAGATAGAGGCCGAGATCTGCTCTTCCCCACACGGCTCGCTCCCTTCTCCTCTCACACCCTCCTCGGTCTTGGCTCCCATGTCAGCTTCCCAGGGAGATCTTTCTTGGCCTCTTGCTAAAATCGCAAGTGTCCCCCCTTCCCATCTTCCTTTCCCCCCTTCTCAGCTGGACTTTTTCCCATGGCTCTTACCCTGCGACCCACGTGCGTCTCCCTCCTGCACTGGGGTCTTGGCTGGCCCCCGGTAGAGTGGGCACGCCCTGAGAGTGGGGCTTCTGTCTGTTTCAGTTCTCACAGCGGTAGGTGCTCAGTAGATGCTTGTTGACTGAGTGAACCCAGAGGTGCACGTGCCGAGGCCTGTGCTCAGAGTGGGGGTGTTGGAGCTGCGGGCCGGCTGTCCCGGGCTGGGGCCTGGGCAAAGCCCTGGAGCTGACTTGGGGAGTCAGGGCCTTCCCCTTGCTGTGCGCCCTCAGCTACTTACCACTGCCCCCTTCCTCTGGACAGGGGGTTCACTGTGCTATGCTGGACCGTAAGACAAGCCCTCTGGCCCCTTCTTCCGGCTAGAGTGTGGGTCCACAGCACGGGGGAGGGGTCCAGCGGCTCCTGCAGGGCCACCCAGGCCAGCAGAGGGCTCAGCAAGTGTGAGGGTGCCCTGCCCTGAGTAGGGTGTCCCTGGGGCCCGAGGCTGGGTCACTCCCGTCAGATTCTTGGGGCTGGGAGAGAGGGAATGGGGGAAACCAGTCAGTCTGGTTCAGATGGGGGAGTGGACCTTCCTTGTTCGAGGGCAGAAGCCGAGGCAGCGCCCTGGGCACAGGGCCAGGGCAGCAAAACCAGAAGGAACGCTGGGAATTCCTGCTGCTTATCCAGCAGTTTCATCTCCCAGAGGCTGCACTTGCCCATCTGGAAACCAGGGCTGGGCCGGAGGGTAGGGCAGGGGCGGGAGGGCCTGGATGCCAGCTGAAGCGGCCTCATTTTTTGCACATCACTACGTTAACTCGCAGTAGTAGCCTAGGTTCCTGAGAAGGACAGATCTGGGTTCAAGTTCTGCCCTTTACCCACAGGCGACCATGGGGATCATCCCCATCTGAGCTTCTGTTTGGAAAATGGGGATAATAAATAGTGGCACCTAATGCAAGGGTTATGGGGGATCAATGGGGGATCAAAGAGGGAGGTGCTTACCTGAGGCCTGGCGCAGAGCCGGAGCGCAGTGAGTGGTGAATGTGACCAAGCTCTGTGAGTAACAAGACCGATAATTGATAGGTGTACATAAACCCGCCTTGGTCTCTTCTTTTTTTTTTTAAAGATTTTATTTATTCATTTTTTCCCCCCAAAGCCCCAGTAGATAGTTGTGTGTCATAGCTGCACATGCTTCTAGTTGCTGTATGTGGGACGCGGCCTCAGCATGGCCGGAGAAGCGGCGCGTGGGTGCGCGCCCGGGATCCGAACCCGGGCCGCCAGCAGCGGAGCGCACGCACTTAACCACCAAGCCACGGGGCCGGCCCCTTGGTCTCTTCTTGATTGTCAGTTTACGGCATTTTCTAACTTGCTTTCAGATGGTTGGAACCAGGCGCGCACGATGGCCTGGAGGCCGTGAGGACCCTGCCTTAAATGAAAAGATCATTGTCCCTGACAGGCCCAGCCCCACCTGGGAGGGGGCTTCCGCGCTGCTTCAGGGGTGTTTGTTCTTTTTCTGAACAGTGACCTCACCAGCCTGGGGGCTCTCGCCCCCCCCATGTGTCGTTTCCGGCAGGTGTGCTAAGCATGGGGGTAGAAGGGGTGTGGGGGCTGTGCTGAGACACCCTGGCTCTGGGTCCTCACTGGTAAGGGCTCTGTCCCCAGCTAGTGTGACTGTCCCCAAGGCCCTGCTGCCTGTCCCACCTTCCTGTCCTGCAAGTGTACCCCACAAGTGTGCCCCACGGGCCACCGCCAGCCTGTCTGCGGTGGGTGGAGGAGAGTGCGGACGGGGTGGCTGCGGCTGGCAGGGTGCAGTGCGGGAGCCACCCCCGGGTGTGGAGGAGCGCGGGCAGAGCTCTGGAGACCGCGGCTCTCCCCGTCGCACCTGGGGCTGAGCCCTCTCCCTGGGTGCAGTGCGGCAAGGGCGGGAGCAGATTCCCTGACTCCACCGCGTCCTCTTGTGCACGGCACCTGTGCAGGGCCGGCCTCTGCCCCCTGCTCCGGGGATGAGGAAGCTGGGGCCCGATAGCTCCTGAGCCGTGTTCATTAGGTACTGTGTGCTGGCCCTGCTGGCCCTGGAGACAACTGTGCCCAAAGCAGGGTTCCTCCTGGGCCTGCGTGCCGGCGGGTGGGCTGGAGTTGCCCACGTGAGCTGCACAGAGGGAAGCTGCTTGCCCAGGGCCCCCCACAGCAGAGGCAGGACCGAAGTCCAGCTCTCCACGCGGCCTCCGCCTCCCCAGTGGTGCTATGGGAGGAGACGCCGGCCGCGCCCTTCCCCAGCCTCCTGGGGGGAGGGGCAGAAAGAGGAGAAAGGAAAGTTGGGGGGTGGGGCTGGACTCTCCAGCCACTCAGCTGAGGTCATTCCTGTGCTGACCCCGCGTGAGTTGGGGGATTGACACGGAAACTTCCCTGTTGGTTCTCTGCAAAGGTGCTCTGATGGGGGCTGCCTAGCAGGCACCCAGCTCTGACTGTGCTCTGTGGAGAGCGCCAGCCACCTCTCCGGGGTCTGGTCTAGGAGCTTGTGGCCCCCAGTACTTTTTGTCCCCAAAACCAGCAGCCAGAGGTGGGTCTCTCCCCTGAGCTGCTTCTCTGTGATCCAAGTGATGGTTGGCTTGACCTCAGGCTGGTGGCAAGGTCGCTGTGAGCCTTGGTGCCACATGTCTGAACGCCGTCCAGGGGAAGAGGGGGACAGCTCTCTGCATCTTCATCAGCAAAGGAGCCTTTCCCCGAAGCCCCACGGTAGACCGTAGACCGTCCCTCTCCTCGGTAGCCAGAGCCATGTCCTGCCCAGCTGGCCAGGAGTTCCAGAGCGTGCCCTTGTGGAGAAGGGAGCACGGCCCAGCGGGGGCTCTCAGCCAGCAAGGACAGGGTTGGAGAGGCACGGGGAGGCCAGGATGGCCACATGGGAGTACCGCTGGTGGGCCTCCCCTGAGCTCTGTGGACCCTGCCCCAGAGCAGCCCCTCTGCTGGGCCCCACCCTGCCGAGTTCCCCCAGGTGGCCCCACAAGGGGAGTCCCCAGCCTGTTCGTGTAGAATTCCCTGTGGCCCCAAGGGCTGGGGCAGGTGCAGCGCATCCAGCTGGGAATCATAAAAGCATATTTGTTGTATATACTCATTTACGTACGTGAACTCATGGGTCCTCCACGTAACCCTGTGAGGTAGGTATGGTCACTGTACTCATCTTACAGATGAGGGGACCAGAGCACAGAGAGGTGGTGAACGAGCCCAAGGTCACACAGCTGCTCTGGGAGGCAGGGTTTAAAGTGAGAGGGTCAGCTCCAGATGCCATGCCGTTAGCTGCTACACGCACTGCAGGGATGTTGGGGCCCACTCTGCCACATGGGAACGGTGTGACAGGTTCCTTGGCTTCTCTGAGGCCCAGTTTCACCTGTAAGGTAGGGATTGTAACACCTGTATAGAGGGGCAGTCAGGAGAGTCAGAGAAGGTAGGTGGAGAGGGCTTGCTGGGGCGCCAGGCAGAGGTCACCCAGAGGCCTGGGGGCGCGAGGAGGACACAGGCTCTTCTTTTTCCCACCTCTGGGACTCTGTGAGCGTGTCCATCTCTCAGGGATGTGCTGGTGACTTCATCTGTGTTTCAGCAGCTTTTACTAAGCCCCTGGCAGGGCCTAGGTCTGTCCTGTACTGGGTACCGGGACACAGCTATGAGGGAGATGGTTATCCCGCCCTGGGGAGCTCAGTCTGGGGAAGGAAACAGAATTACGGTTCTGGGTGGTGGGTGCCTGGGGGGCCATGCGAGCACACAAGACGGTTCTGGAACCAGACTGGAGGAGCGGGGAACATGTACTATTTCAGCCGAGACCTGAAAGAGTTAGCAGGCAAGGGCTTGGTATATAGAGGTATACAGTAGGAGCCAAATAAATATTTCTCGACTCAGTGAGAAATGTGTCCTGCAGAGGGAGCACCAGGGCAAAGGCCTCTGGTCTGTGGCCTCCGGCGGAGTGGTGGGGCTCTGGGAGACGCTGGCCCTGTCTCGCCCCCTCCAGGTGCTGGGGCTACTGGTGTGGGCCCTGATTGCCGACACCCCGTCCCACCTGTACCCGGCCTACGGCTGGGTGATGTTCGTCGCTGTCTTCCTCTGGCTGGTGACAATCGTCTTCTTCATCATCTACCTGTTTCAGCTGCACATGAAGTTGTATATGGTGCCCTGGCCGCTGGTGGTGAGTCTGGGTGGGGACACTGCGGGGGGTCTGGGCTGACCCCTCCACCTCTGGGAGGAGCTGTGTCAGGACCACCCTGACCTTCCCTAAGTGAGAAGAGGCGGGGTGGGGGGTTGGCTGAAGTCCTCCCTGGGCCTCGCTGGCCTGCAGAGCTGGGTGGGGGAGCGAGGATTGATGGCTCGGCTTCCCAGTTTTTCTGGGCCCCGGGAGCCGTGAACCAGGGAGGACACGGGCTTAACTTTCTCCGGGGAGGGAGTAGAAGTGAGGGGCTGTGGAATGGAGAGACTGGACACCATTGGGAATCTTGAAAATATTTTTCCTTTTTGGGGAGTGGTCAGATTTGAACCTGTGTTGCAGTGGGTCTGCAGACTCTGGCTGGGCCCAGACCGGCAGCCTTGGGCCCGGAGGCTGGGCTGAGCCGTCAGGACTTACCCGGCCGGCCGGGCACGTACATGGTGAGGGCCCTGCAGCCGCGGTTGGCCAGGTCAGTCTCCTCGGGACCCAGGGCTCAGAGCGCCCATGGAAGTGCCCTGGCCAGATGCAGAGAAAGCTGCTGGGGGTTTTCTCTGACCCGGAAAACCCTCGCAGCTGGGGTCTGAGGCTTTCAGTGAGCAGAGCGGCGAGGCAGGCACATGATTGTAAGACAAGCAAGGCTGGGACTAGGCAGCATTGTTTGGGATTCAATGACTTTCTAAACCAAGGAAACGTGAGTCATCCTCAAGACAGAGCGGGCTTGTTAGATCTTGACATCACTGGTAAGAGCCAGGCGGTGTTTTCGGTGGGCGCCGGGCTCGGAGGGGAGATCCTGGGGCGAGGAGGGGCAGCCTGACTTCCTGGCTCAGGGTCCAGCCTCTGCTTCGTGTCCCGGGAGCCTTAAAGAAAGCTCTCTGGAGACGGAGGGGACTCTGTGTCCCTTAGCACAGATTTGGGGCTGCAGCCGCAGCTGCTGCCGGAAGGAGGCTCCTTCCCCAGCCCATGGAGGCGGGCCAGTGTCTCTTACGCTCCTGGACCTGCTAACAGATAGGGCAGGCTGGACCCACTGCATCTAGGGAAGGCTGGGTTAGGACTGCCGACTTGGGGTTTTCTGGGATGGGGGCTGTAAGCCTTCTACAAGGCCCAGAGGGTCAGGAGGGCGTTCTGGAGGACCCGGCAGCCATCTGTCCAGAGGGAGCCACCTCTGCTCAGCTCCAACTGTTGTTAGCGGGAGTGCAGGCCCCTGGGTGCCAGATCTTGGTATTTTAAGATTGAAGGCTGGGGCTGGCCCCGTGGCTTAGCGGTTAAGTGCGCTCCACTACTGGCGGCCTGGGTTCGGATCCCACGCACGCACCGACACACCAGTTGTCCGGCCATGCTAAGGCGGCATCCCACATACAGCAACTAGAAGGATGTGCAACTATGACACACAACTATCTACTGGGGCTTTGAGGAGAAAAAGGGGAAAAAAAAAAAGGAGGATTGGCAATAGATGTTAGCTCAGGGCCGGTCTTCCTCAGCAAACAGAGGAGGATTGGCATGGATGTTAGCTCAGGGCTGATCTTCCTCACAAAAAAAAAAAAAAGATTGAAGGTTTTATATGAAATCTTCAGGTTATCATATGAAATCTAATTTGAGAATGTTGGTAATCAAAAAAAAAATCTGTGGGACAAACCAAACGTGCCTGAGGGCCACCAGTCTGCAGTCTCTGCTAACACTTAACCGGCTCCAGAGCCATGCGCTGAGGATATGGGCCCCAGGCCTGGTGGTCAGCTGAGGGCCCTTCTGCCAGTCTGGCTCAGGATCCTGCTGGGTCCTGACCCTGGTGTTTGACTGGGGCATTGAGCCTAGGATGTGGCCAAAGGCAGACACAGCTTCCTCCTACTGCGGGCAGAGAGGGATGTGAGCCACCCCCGGGCCAGCCCCAGAGCCAAGGCCTGCAGTGGCAACAGGGGGGCTGGGCTTGGCCGAGCCACCGTGGAGGAGCGGCCCAGAGTTCTTTAGCTGGTGCCCTCAGAGACGGACTTGGTTCGGCCTCTTGCCGTCGGGAGTGGGTTTTGCCTCGTGGGACTGCTGCTGCCCCTGACCAGATCCCTTCAAGCCTTCCCATCCTTCCCCTCCCTTCTCAGCCTTAGGTGTATTATGCTCGCGGCTCAGAGGGCCTCGGGCTGGCCTGGTGCGGACTGTTGCCTCTTGAGGCCCTTTGGGTGGGAAAGACCCACGTGTCCCCATCCCCATCCCTGAGCCCCAGCCCCGGTTCTGGCCGCTAAAGGGATGTGCCAGGGGAAGCAGGAGGTTCCAGTTACTGCAAGAGCCTTGTCTCTCAAGCCTGTTCTCCCCGTCCTCCACCCCCAGTTAATGATATTCAACGTGGGTGCCACGGTTCTCTACATCACGGCCTTCATCACCTGCTCGGCTTCGGTCGACCAGACGTCCCTGAAGGGCAGCCGGCCATACAACCAGCGGGCAGCCGCCTCTGTGAGTATGGTTCCCTGGGAAGCCCTCGGCAGTTACAGGGAGACGGGCCAAACCAAGGTCTGTGCCCTGGACCCCCGCTGCTCCCTGGTGTGAGGCCAGGCCCTGCCACCTCCCGATACTGTCCTAATCCTCAGCGGGTCTCGGGAGCCGAGCTGACTCTCCGTCTTCCATGATTAACAGTGAAACCTTGAGGAGCCAGAATGCTTGGGAAATACTTTGTGGTGGTGAATGGAAGTTTGGGTTAACTGTTGAACTTGGCTGTGAATCACTGTGCCACAATGATTTTGGGTCATATGCCCCCTTGGAGAATCTGTTAAAAACTATCCGACCCCCAACCCCCTTCACCTTGAAAAAGGTACATGCAGAACCTCTTGGTTGCAACTATGTTGGAGTATTCATAGGCTCTCCTGTGAAGCCCAAACTTGGGCTCCACGTCAAGCAGCCAGTGAAGTAACAGCAGCACCCCCACCTGTCAGGCCCCACCCCGCCAGGCCCTGCAGACAGTCCCTCACAGGACCCTCTGACCCCTCAGTGGGGAGACCAGGCTACCAGTCCCTTTTCACAGACAAGGAAACTGAGGCTCAGAGAGGTGAAGTAATGCCTCGAGTAAGTCCAGGGTAGGGCAGGATCTAGACTGGGGTTTGGCAATCAGTGAACTCGGTCACCAGGATTGAGACACGGAGCTTCCGAATGTGGCCATAGGTGCTATGAACTGATTCCAGAAAATTCCTAGGGTGACTTTTGAATGTTGCCTTTTGAAAACTAAATTCCTGGTATGTGTCTAAGGTAGCTCCCGTCCCTTGGTCACTCTTAGCTCATTGTCCAGTTGCCCTCATCACAATGTGACATTCCTTACCTGTGTGGTTATTAATGGTTTCCCCGACTAGAATGTGACGTTAGCACCCCAGCACCTGGCACCCATCGGCCCCCCAACCAACAGCTGTTAAATGAGCGGATGGCTGAGCAGGAGTGGGTGTGGCTGCCCGAGCAGTGGTTCTGGTTGACTGAGGGGCCGTTACTCAAGGTCTCACTGTCGGTGTGGGTCTGAGGCTGCCCCGTGCAAGGCCACACTGCAGAGGACTCAGCTCTGGTGTCTTCTCCTCTCTTTCAGTTCTTCGCGTGTTTAGTGATGATCGCCTACGGAGCGAGCGCTTTCTTCAGCTTCCAGGCCTGGCGAGGAGTGGGCAGCAACGCAGCCACCAGTCAGATGGCTGGCGGCTACGCCTAGACGGCCGTGTCGCGGCACACCCTGGGGCTGAAGGCTGCAGCTGGGTCACAGCACAGGGTGGCCCTGCAAGCCCGAGGCCTGAGCCCTGTGTGGACTCAGCCCGGAAGGGACTACACGCGCTCCTCTCTGTTCATCAGACTTGGGCTCGCCCAACACTCCTAAGGAATCGGGATCCTTCCTCTGGTTTGGCCCAAGTTGGCAGGCGCGTGGGCTGGAGAGAGGCCAACAGCCGAGACACCTCCTCCCCATCCCCCTTATTCAGCAGAAGGTGACGGGGGACACGGGGCTCCCACTGTCTCTGCTTTGTCTTTCAAGGACTTGAGTGTCCCAGGCTGGGGCCCAGCCTTCTCACCAGCACTAAATGCACTAACAGGCACTCCAGCCCTGCCGCCCCTCACCCGCGTAGAATAAGCCTAACAAACAACACGTATTTATCTTAGTCTTGGTTCTGGGAGAGCTGAGCAAGCTCACGAAACCGTTCTGATTCTTTAAAGCCCAACTCCGACCCTCCCCTCCCCCAAGCCAACAAGTCACTGTGGAGACATCTCCAGAAAGAGGGTTATGGTTTCTGACAGCATGGTCTTCCTGTCCTGCATTTCCAACATGCCAGTTATTTAAAGCAAATCGGTTTTAAGTGACTTCTCAATGATGAGAACCTATCCAGGTTTCCCTCCCTTTCCCAAGCCCAGTCTGTAATATTCCCTTTGGGAAAAGCTGCCGCCTGCTTCCCTGATGCTGATTAGGCCCATGGGACATGGAGGAGGGAGTCAAGACCTTGCCTGGTGAGTTGTCATGTGCTTGTTGATGACTGTTGTTTCTGGGTTTTTTTACAAAAATAAAGATGGAGGAACTTATTTGGAAAACATGTTGGGGTATCATGGTCATAGATGCTTATAAACTCCAGGAAGCTGCTGGGGAGACTACGCCAAGGTCCCCAATGCCTATGTCAGGGCACTTCTGGTTCTGAAGGCACTCCGCACCACACTCCGCACCACCAGCCGCTCCTTTGACCTGAGGCAGGCTGACCAACTGCCTGCCCCTCTGCCTGGGACACTCCCAGTTGACGCTATTTGTCCTGGCATAAATTTAAGAGCATTCTGGCTTTAGGTAAGTTAGTTGCTAAACTGAAGATTTCCATAATGTCAGCTAACTTGAAAGTTTGTGATGCTCAGAGATCATATCACCAAAGTCAGTGGCCATACGAGATGTGCAGGGAGGGGAAGGCAGCCAAGTCCTCTCGAGCTCATTTTCCACTACCACAGAGCAACATACTCAGAATAGTAAGCCAAAGGCATTTCTAGGCACCCCTTGGTCCTCCTTCGAAAAACTGGCAACAATTAAAATGTAACTAGATTCAAACAACTGCATGGGCTGGCCTGGTGGCGTAGTGGTTAAGTGCGCGTGCTCCGCTTCGGCAGCCCAAGGGTTCGCAGGTTTGGATCCCGGGCATGGACTGACACACTGCTTGTCAAGCCATGCTGTGGTGGCATCCCATATATAAGGCAGAGGAAGATGGGCATGGATGTTAGCCCAGGGCCAATCTTCCTCAACAAAAAAGAGGAGGATTGGCGACAGATGTTAGCTCAGGGCTGATCTTCCTCAAAAAATACCAAAAAAACAACAACTGCAGATAAGCTACTCCATTGGGAAGGGATGGGGGATTAAGTCAGGTACCCATGTCCCGGTTTATGCCTGTTGTCCCAGTGCAAACACTAATAGCATCCCTTTCTACTCGTGTCTCAGAGTCTAAATAATAAGAGTCATTCCAGGATTAAGCCATAAGAAGGGTTTAGTTTTAAGGAAGATCAACCCATTTTCTTTTGAGGCTTAAGAGAAAACAAAATCCTAAGCAAGACTCCCCAGGTTTCTGACCCTATCACACAGCCTATTTCGGTGGAGACGTTAACATGCTTGGTCAAACAACTACCTCTGGCTCAGGCCAAGGCCTCCCCAGTCCTTAGACCCTGTTGTTTGGGTGAAGACTGCTTCCCGTGGGGGAGAAGGCCTGAGCAAAAGGAGAATGCAGCTGTCCCAAGGCAGGGGCAGAATGTCAGCACATCCCACTGGCACCTGGTAACTTCCTGTGTGGATGGACAGATTTCTAGTTTGTTTTAAAAGAAATCAGAAAGCCTATCTCTAATATTAAGCTCTAACAGGCTTGCTTGCTTTTTTCTGAGTGGAAAAGGGAGAAAAAAAAACTTTGCCTTTCTTCTTGTTCATTTTTCATAATTTCATCTTTGGACTTGTCTACCTGCCTTTTCTCACCAGGCGGACTGACCAACAGGCCCGGCGTGCAGTGGGCAATGCCGTTTATAAAGGAGCAAGAAGGGAAAGCAAGGCCAGGATAGGGGGCATTTTGAAAAGCTGGCTCAGAGTGCCTTTGGCTTGAAAGACCAAAGCAGTAACAACCCGGTGGCAGTGGCTATATAAAGAAAGGGAATGACTCGTTTAGAATGATGGTTCTTGCAAAGCACGTCAAATTTTACTCATGGTACAAAAGTTAAGTGCCACATCAGTAGAGAAAAACACATAGCGCACAGCTCCTCCTTAAAACCAGAATAGCCAAGTGAAAAGTCAGTCCAGATTCTTATTTTCACTTAAAAAAAAAAAAAAAAAAGTCTAAGATACACACCAGAAATTGAACTACTATGTTTTTTCTTCTTTCTAGAAATGTGACACCCATGTTTTCTGGCCAGTAATGTTCTATCAAACATCATACTAAACCAATGTACTAAATCAAAGCAGACAGAGGACAGTGAAGCTGTTTGCTCTCCTACTTGTGCAGAGCTAGACAGTGGAACACCACATTGGTAGGAAGATTTTGACAGGAGGAGGAACCGCAGAGCCCCCACCCCAACAGAAACTCTAAGGAACTGATTTATACAGGAACGGTTTTAAGCAAAGCTGCACGAACACTGAACATGCCGTAAGACAAAGACCACTTGTAGCCTACTTCCCGCACAAGCGCACGTTCACTGGTGCCCGGTAAGATAGGAACGCCAACACAGAACGCAGTCTTGCTTTCACAGCACTAACTAGAAAGCACACAGCATATAATACTTTGATCTTTAAGTGGGTAATCATGGAAATTCCAAGATTACATCCACTAGGTTAGCCTGAGTGTTCATCTATAAAAATATTTTTTCAAAAATGCTTAAAAGAGAATTCTAGAAAGAGTGGGACTACATCAGAACCAGCAGAAAACTGATACAACGACTGCAGGTGTAAGAGGAGGAACTGGCTTTCCCGGGTAGCTTTTAGGTGAAGGCTATTGCTCTCAGGTGATTCCTACAGCCAAGACTAGCTGGGATAGTAGGAGCTTCAGAAATCTCAAGACGGGCGGCAGGCTTAAGTAACACCCTAGATCAAGACTCCCAAACAGTCACAAACCCCACTGAGGCTGCAGGACTGAACTCTGCTGCATATAAACAGGCTGGTGGGACACACAGAGCCTGCTGGGCCAGAAAGATTGGTGACAGTGGGTTCTTCCCAATGCTGACACACCAACATGTGTGCTGGTGAGGGGCCCCGGGGAATGCTGGACTTGGGCTTGCTCCAGGAGCCCAACTCAAGCCTCTAAGAGAGGGGAGGAGGCTTCCCCTAAGTCTAAGCCCTTCACTGGGGAGGAGGACTAGGGTTACTGAGCACAAGAGGGTGTTTCAGGAGAAAGGTCCCAGGAGGGTCAGGCGATTTTCCTTTTGAGCCATCAATACTTAACAGTAATGAAGCATTACAGCACAGAATCAGTCTTCCAATAGTCAGTCTTTCCAAGATGTGTTCTTCTGTCATCATTAGCCAACCCCTCTCCCAGTCTATTGGGCTGGCGACGTTCAGAAAGATCCTACTGCCTGGAGGTGGGACCTAGGGCCGCAGATTGTTCTGGGAAGCTGGTGTAGAAGATGATTTGCACAGTGAAGTCACCACTAAACCGCTGCTTAAGTCCAGTCCCCGGCCCTCTTTTTCCTACATGAGAAAAGAAAACTTCAAGGGGCAAGGAATAGGAAAAATAGAGCCCTTCCTAGCTCAGAACCCTGCTGCTGGCATGGGGAAGGATGCACTCGGGGGAAGGAGGACCGCCAGGGAGCACACGGGAAGGGGAAGGAGGTCACTCTGCGTTTCTGTTCAGCACTGGCCCTAGTCACTCTTGAAAAATGCACCTGTCTTCACTGAAAAACATGTATTTTTCCTGTTAAACGCCTGCATTATAAGAAAGGCCCGGCAATCAGCTCTGCTTTTTGGTTCTGTCCTTTTGATTATTTAGGGACCCTAAGAGGTGCCTGGGACCTGATTCATCACAACATGAGAATGTAATTCCTCAGTCAGGGTCCCAGGTCCCAGTCAGAGGAGGATAGCGGCTCACTCTTCTGACGACCTCGCTAGCTGCGACTGACAGTGGCCAGTGTGGTGGGGAGAAACATGGGGGGTGGTTTGTGCTTGACAGTTCTACTTGGAACTTGCTAAGTGGTTCAGTGTGGCTAAGTAAATACACAAGAGTAACTTACTGCTCTGTAGTCCAGAAACATTTCTTTAAAAGCCAGAAAATCTGTAAAGGTGAGCAGCATGTCGAATATGTCACCAGCCACTTCATCTTTATGGTGCCTGTAAAAGAAATGGATGGCTGTTTCATGAATGAATGATGAAACAGACTGTCTCTTCAAGATCTCATCCAAAGGTTCTGAGGGCCTCCCACCCAGGACCTAGCCACCAAGTGCTCTAAACCTTGATGTTCAAGCACTGAAAAAAAAGGGTCTTTTTTCAGAGTAAAGGAGGAGGGAGGTGAAAAAAGGTAAAAAACACAGAGTCAAGCTCAACTCACTGTAAACTTGTTGTGAAAGCCGCCATGTTAAAGCCGGGAATCCGCTTCAGGAGCTGTTCTTCAATATACTTTTCTATCAAAGAAATCTGTCGCAGTGGGAAGGATCTTGGTCAGACCACGCTTTAGGAAAACCAGACTTCTTTTCAGACACCTGTCCTCCAGCCCTTTGCACACATTTCCCATTCTATGTGCCAGGCTCCATGTAGAGTGCGGGGGACACCAAAGAGAACCAAACCCACATCCTGTCCGTGCCCTGGCCCACCGCACTGGCCCACCATGAGAGAGCGGCACTGGCAGGTAATTACACTGTACCAAGATGAATGCTCTAAGGGAGCAGAGACGGAGGGCAGCAAGGCTCCCACCCCCGTGACAGAAGTGAGGAATGAAGTCAGTGGGGCTTTTCTTCCTGGGTAGACGGAATCTGTGCAAAAAAGCACACAGCTGGAGGCACTCCCAGGTTCCTTGTCCGCTGAGGCTATGCTTGAGGAAACCTTCATCAACTACGCCACGCTTCTATGGAAAGAAAGGCCTGGAGGCTCAAACCCATTCTAGACAGATGAGATCATTCCAGGAGGCTGCTCGAGGCCTCGGTGTACTGGAAAGACTCAAAGGGTCAAGAGTGGAGATCCCTGGGTTCCAGTCTTAGTTTTGCCACCAACTAATTCGTGATCTTGGTCTTGGTTTTCACTTTTTTTGTGTGTGTGAGGAAGATTAGCCCTGAGCTAACATCCATTGCCAATCCTCTTTCTGCTGAGGAAGACTGGCCCTGGGCTAACCTCCGTGCCCATCTTCCTCCACTTTATATGGGACGCTGCCACAGCATGGCTTGACAAGCGGTATGTCGGTGCGTGCCTGGGATCCGAACCTGCAAACCCCGGGCCGCCAAAGCGAATCGTGTGAACTTAACCACTGTACCACCGGGCTGGCCCCTTGGTTTTCACTTTTACCTAACAGTCATGCATACCCGACTGGATTATGTAGTAGAAGAAAATAATGTGTGAAAGCCAAAAGGTCAAAAGTATGTAAATGAAAGGTCTGACGATCAAGTCAAACATTTTTTAAAATAGAAGTTGACGAAATCAGCAAATATTTGGAAAACAGCCCCAAGAGCTGTGAGGAGGCAAACAGGGAATGAGACCTAAACCAGATTCTAATCAGAATTCCTGGCAGGACACTGGTGGCAGATTTTAAAAGTGGAGCAAATTTCAACAGCTTTTGATTCTAAATTCACATTTTAAACAAATCCTGATCTCTGGTAAGAGAGATAGAAATCCACTTACATATTCGTTAAAAATAGGTGTGTAGGTGAGTTTATTCTCTTCCGTGTCTTCAAACTCCTGGTAGTACTTGTCCATGAAATTTCTCTGTAATAACTGGAACTCGTCATCTGAACCACAATACGAAAATTTTATTCTTTTTAATGGAGACTGATTTATAAGAACAAACCTGATTTATTATATATCTATATACATTATTATAAATATATGATTCTGATTTATAAATAGGAATTATATGTCAGCAGAACTGCTTTCTCAGTGGCCAATCTCGAGGAGAGAGATAACTAAAGGTGTTTTAAGGAAGTGTTAAATGGGACACCAATGTTGAAATAAACCAATCTAGTTTTTTAAATTTTTTTAAATTGTGATAAAATTTACCATTTTATCCATTTTTAAGTGTACAGTTTTGCGGCATTAAATATATTCACACTGTTGTGCAGCCATCACCACCATCCTCCAGTCCATTTTAAACTCACCCATACAGGGGGCCGGCCCCATGGCGTAGGGTTAAGCGCACGTGCTCCACTGCTGGCGGCCCGGGTTCGGATCCCGGGCGCGCACCAAGGCACCGCTTGTCAGGCCATGCTGCGGCGGCGTCCCACATAAAGTGGAGGAAGATGGGCACGGATGTTAGCCCAGGGCCAGTCTTCCTCAGCAAAAAGAGGAGGATTGGCATGGATGTTAGCTCAGGGCTGGTCTTCCTCACACACACAAAAATAAATAAAAAATAAAGTCACCCATACAGGGTGGCTTGGGAACTCCCTCACATTACTTTTCCACAAAGGAATGGGATGGTTCTCTTATTTTAATGTACTTTTAGCAGCAATGGTGGAAACAGTGTAGTGATTAAAGGTATGGGCTCTGACAGAGGCCAGACTGCCTGGGTTCAAATCCCACCTCAGCCACTAACAACTGTGTGACCTCAGGCACATTAATTTCTCTAAGCTCCAGTTTCTTCAACTGGAAAATGAGGATGATCATAGCACCTATCATATAGGATTGCTAGGTAGAATTTAGATGAGAATTCATGGAAAGAGATTAGTTCATAGCCACCACTTAAATGTTAGGGAACAGGGAGTTTTAACAACTGAATAGATATTTCTAAAAAATAAAAGGAAAGCTTCACAAATGACCTAGACTTTAGGATAAATACCCTGGGCTTACAGAGGGCTCCTTTTCCCACAGCATACAGGGTACCCATAAAGGGCAAAAGAACTCAAAAGTACTCCTCGGTATTCCCCAGAAATACTCAGACCACACCGGACAAGAGCTTAACGGTGAAGTGTGTATCTAGGAGTTAAGGGCATGAACCTTTACAGAACCTGAAGGTACAAAAACCTAGTCAGTGATTTCCAGACTAAACTAGACTAAGAAATACAGCCAATAACACCAAATAACAGTGTTCTTTTCCTAATTCTCAGAAAACTCAGTCAATAGACAAAATTCAAATTTAAGTTTTTCTCTCCCAAATATTTGTTTCAAACCTGTGGTGCCTGTTACTGCTTATTACTTAGCAGGACTTAACGGATGCCAATATGAAGCCACAGATAGGAACTCAGAACCCAGGAAAATACAGAACCAGCTGACGTATGCCACCTTGTTTTCTTCATGGACGTGTGTGCTATGGTTATGTTATCATGCTGCGGTTTATGTCATGAAAATGTTAAAACCCAAGACTGAAAAATGAAATTGCTCTTACTCTCTGAAGTAAAGTAGGCCAATATTTCCTGAAGTTTTTCCAAGAGCCGGGTAACTTCTAGGTGCCCCATTACCTGAATAAGTCCCTTCCAGGGACTGAATCTCTGGTTATTCGTGGTTTTAAGGAGTATGGGGCTGTTTGCCTTTAAGACAAATCACAGTAAGGCTTACTTAATAATACTTTGTGCTACATAAAAAAATTATATGCAGCTTAAAATTAACTCTCCAAATTGATTTCAGTGTCCTTAAAAGCAAGGGTCTAAGAAGTAAAGAGCACAGGTCAGGTTGTGGCAAGGAAGCTTACCCATGATAATGTTCTCTAAGCATCCAACCACAGCATCAAATTCTGCATCAGAGGCGGAAGAGCTGAAAAATATGCCTGGATTAGGTGCTGTTTCAAATAATTCATTTTTTAAAAAATGTGTTATGGACATTTTCAAATCTGCATAAAAGAATAGCAAAGTGAACTTCCCATCACCCAGCTTCAAGAATTGAGAAGGATGATTGTCTCATCTAGCAATTCCACACACAAGGAAACACACTTGACACATCTATGACATCAAAGTTGAATGGAATGGCCCCACTTTCAGAAAACCTGATGCGACACAAAGAATGACAAAAGGGACAAATAAAGGGGGCAAAGGCTCACATCGGACATCTTCAGGCTCCTCGCCTTTATTTCCCTCCGGCTCTACTCACCGCCTCTTCGCTATCACCCCACACCTATCTGTTTGCGAGCGTGAACCCGGCGCTGGCGAGATAGTGGCCAGGGAGGCAATTAGACAGGAGTCCCTGGGGGGTGGTGGAGGGTCCTCTGACCCGTGGTCGGGCCTCGGCAGCTCAAACCCGCCGGTTCTGCTGACCACTAGGACTGGAGGCGGGGGGACTGTGATGGAGGCGCTGATCATCGCGTGACACCCGCCCGCACTCCTGTCCTCCGGGGCCTGAGCCCGGCGGTGGCAGTACCGGCAGCATCGACTGCCGGCCGCCCCCACCCCAGCCCAGCCCACCCTCCGAGGACACCCGTTTCACAGGGCGGAGGCCGAGAGCCTGCAGGCCCGGCTCCAGCCTCCGGGCCCGGGCGGCGTCACTCACAAGGACAGCGCGAAGCTCTCTTCCTCCAGGGCGTCCATCCCCGCCGCCGCCGCCGCCGCCTCCAGCTCCGCGGGCGAGCGGCCCGTCGGCATCCCACCCTGCCCGCGGCCTGGGCCCAGCCTCCGCTCTGCTCCGCAGAGCGCCAACCGGCATCCGGGAGGCCTCGCCGCCGAGGCCACGGGCGGCTAACGGCCCCGCCGAGTAACGCCTGCGCGCGAAGCGCCGGGCGCAGGCTCCCCGGCCGCGGGGGTCCCCGGCGTCGGTTACCGCGCCCCGCCTCCCGTCACCATGGACACCGGAACACCTTCCGCCGCCCCGCGGCTGCCGACAGCCAATCACAAGCGCGCGTTGCCCGACGCCAGGGGCGGGGCAAAGATAGGACAGGAAGTGACGGGCAGGGATAGAGAGTCGCGAAGGGCACCTGGGTCTTCGTGAGCGGGCCGGGTGTTGCCATTAAATCTCACGCCGCCTGTCCTTTTATGGAGGAAGAAATCGAAGCCAAGAGCCTCAGTTTCAGTTTCCTTACTTGCAATTTGGGGATAAATTACAAGATTTAAGAAGAAGATTTAAGTAGTTTAAATTGGGTTTTAAGAGGACTCTAATTAGGTGGCAAATCTCTTGAGCGCCAGTCCCTTCGCTTTTGAACCAGATAATGCGGACCTCTGATTGGCAGGACAGTTATTCTCCTGAAACAAAAGCCCCACTGCAAGAAGTGGATGTCTTGTAACTGTAATTTACATAATAAAGATAATATTCACATCATAAAGATTATTCAGCAGTAACTGGTGTCTTGGCTAATTAGACAACATAAAACTCGACAGAACCACTTTGAGCAACGCAATCAGATAACTTTGCTCCAGGAAAGGTCTCCTCCAACACAGCCAAATTTTGCAACAGGACTCCCTAGACCTGATTTCTCTTGATTGGACCACTAGGCATTATGCCTCTTGAGTTGCATTTTAGCTTTGGCCAAATGTGTGGTACACGTCTAGAAGGATTTAAGGTATGTCTTAGGTTTGATCTGAGGGTCAGATGGCCAGCCTTAATGAGTTGACAGACATCTTTGAATGGACATAAAATAGATAACAGTAGGATGTGGAACTAAAGATGGTTACCATGGCATCCAGGGTGAGATCACTTCTCAGAGGTACTACCTCTGCTTAGCACCAAGTAGAAGACAGGCATCTAAAAAGGTTTGCTGAATAACTGGACCAAGTTCTGTTTAAGTCAAGCATTGGTCACCACAGCTCAAAGCAAACTCAGGAACATTTCCTCATGACCTTTCTCTATAAACCACACTTATTTCTGCTGTACTAAATGAACTTGCCCACCCTTCCTACTGCTAAATCACATAATGGGATCAGAGTGGAGGAAGAAACTTGATTTCATCTGTCCTGGTTATTTATTGCTGTTATAAGCCACCCGAAAACTTACTGGCTAAAAACAACAATCATTTTGCTCACTCATCCTCAATTTGGGCAGGACTTGGTAGGGAGAGCTGGTTTCTGTTCCACTTGGCGTCAGCTGGGGCAGCTGGAATGGGGCTAGAGGTGCGTCTTCCAGAAAGCTCACTCGCATGGCTGGCAAATTAGTGTTGGCTGTGGCAGCTCAGTTGTGGATGTTGGCCAGATGACTGGGAGGGTCTCAGTTCTGTGCTCCGTGGTCTTCTCAGGGATGCTTGGGTTTTCTCACACCATGGCAGCCAGGTCCAAGAGTAAATATTTCAAGAGATAAGAACTGGAAGCTGCCTGGAACTGCAAACTGGCACGACATACACTGAATTCTATTGGTCAAGCAGACATAGCCCGCCCAGATTTAAGGGGTGGGGACATAAACTTCATTTATAGATGGGAGGAACGTCAAAGACTTTGTGGCCATCTTTAATATACTTCACCATCTCTGGCTGTAAGAGCAAATGGGGATGAAGATAACAGGTACCGTTTACTCAGGCATGTGCCAGATACTGTGCTAAACATTTATAAATACATTGTCTCCTTTTGAAATACTTGAAACCCTATGAGAAAAAAACAAAAACCCTATGAGGTGAGCATTATCTCCATTTTACAGATTAGGAAACCAGGGCTTATAAGTACTTGCATACTGGTGATAAGTGGCATAGTGCGGCCGGACCCTGGGTCCAGGTCCACTCTAAGGGCCTGTTTTAACCATCATTCTATGTAAGGCCCCGATCCCTGAGTTGTCAAACAATATTGATGAAAATCAGAACAGGATGTTTTTCTGCTGAAAACAGAATGATGGCCTTTTTGTAGAAAAACTGAAAATTTACTTGAATATATTAAATGTTTTCCATTCATAATCATTTCCTATATCCTTTCATTGTGGGTTAACATTAAGAATTGTTTTAAGTGAATAAATAGCAAAACATGGACAATCTTGGAAATTCCTTATCTTACTTAGACAGTTTGTTTTCATGGATACATAGTCAAGATGGTGGAAATTCATGCAAGTCATTTTCTGCTAGTGAAATTGTTTTGGTTTCTGTGATTGAATCATGGTTTCCTGGCATTCTGCAAATGGCACCATGACTTTACCCTGGTCTATCAATATCATTCAAAAAAGGCAACAATTCATTAAAAAATTTTTTTGGCTGGAACCCTGGGGGCATTTCCCCAATGAATCATTGGAGAAATGCCATAACTTGATTTTTAATGTTTTTCTCTCTGGTACAATATATCAGCAGTAAAAACCTAGCTTTCAATTTCTCTTAAAATGCTTACATGTAGTACAGAATATTGATCTGTTTACTCTCTTCCACATACATTGCTAATCCCTAGTTTTTTCTCTTCTATGTGGAATATATGTTTTTCCTTTGAAGTAGCTTCAAGATTACAACTTTGCTCCCAACCTGAATGATTTAATCAATTTAATATTGAAGTCCTCTTGTTTTATGGTCCAGAAGTTAAGAAGTGGAAAAGGAAATCATCTTATGAACAAAGTTCAAGGGTAGATTTCTAGAAAGCTCATAGGTTCCTGCATTCCTTTGACTACTAATTACCTATTTTTCCATCGACTTTTCTCTATCCACTGAATTTACAGACCACCTGCGCCTTTCTGCAGAATTACTTCAAAAGTCTCCCTACGGGTCTTATTATTTCCATTTTTTCCTTGTCCTCTATCCTGCAGCACCCCCCACCTCCCAACCTTCCATTCCCCACTTAGAAGCCAGAGCCATCTTTTAAAATTATTTATCAAGGCACTTCCATGCTTAAACTCCTTCACTTTGTATTACACTTAGCATAAAACACAAAATTCTTAACATGGCCTTCATGAGCAGTCCCCTGACCTCTCCAACATTGGAGCATACTATTCTACCCACTCAGTTCCTATCTTACTAGCTACAGGGGCCTTCCATCAGATTCTGAAGCTCACTGAGCTCCTTTCCTCCTCAGTTAGGGTCTTTGCCTATAATGGTGTGTTCCCCTAGCTACTCAGTCCTAGAAGCTTGTCCTCTGTCTCTCTGCCTGGCTCTATCCCTTTGTCCTACTTCCTCCTTTAAGTTTTTACTAATTTTACTTCCTCAGTGAGGTTTCTCCCCCTCCCCCATCTAAATTAGGCCCCCCTCATTCTCTCATAGCACCCTATACTTTTCCTTCAGGGCACCAACAATTTATTACAATGAACAAAAACATATTGTCTTTTCCCCACTACCAGATGTAAGCTCTGTGAACAGATCTGTTCTGTATACCACACAGGCACAGTGCCTGGAAGACATTAGGTGCTCCATAAAGATTAGCGAGATGAGTAAGTGATTAACCTTGATTCTTCATTCTAATACTGACTCTCTCCTATCCTGGAAAGTAGCTCTTAAACCTGAGAGTATAATATCTTAGAACCTTAACAGCAGGCACCAATGAAAGTTGTAAATCTTAGTCAAAAAAGGCAACAACTGTTTTATTTTTTCAATGCAAATTACTGTATTCACCACAAGCTAAAGAAGAGAACATATATATATATATTTATATATATTTTTGAATTTACGGAAGACTAAAGACATGGAAAAAATCCAGCACCCCAACAAGTACGGCCAGGAAGGAAATCAGCTCTGTAATAGGATGATTTAACGAACTACAAACAAGAAAGGGTGGGAAAGGAAGGAAAAATGTGCATTGAGTTTAAGACACTGTAAAACTCAGAAGACATATTTACTATTCAAGTATAAACTCAGTAAGGACTTGGCATAAATTGAAAGGCAGCTGCTGAGGTACAACATTATAAAATAAGTTCTATGAATTTACAATTCTACCTTCCAATTTTCTGGGAGAAAAAACCAAAGTCTTGAAGGTCTTCACCAGAGACCCTGAGAGGGATTAACACTTTTGATGAAGACATAGTCAACAATCCATGATTGAATTTACTATTCAAAAACATGTATTTATTTAAAACAACAGGAATTCGTGCTCTCAGACTGTCCTCTAAGAGTTTTTGAGACGATTAGTTCAACAGTTTCAAAGTATATTACTTCCAAAAACAATACTGATTAAAAAAAATTTTTTTTTAACAAAAAACAAAAAACCTGATTTGATGGTACCTTAAAAATATCCTAAATACCAAATTTTCTCCAGTCTAGTCTAACATTGCAATTAATTTAAGAATTCCTCCTGCGTTAAAACATTTTTCCTCACAAAATGTGGGTACTGAAATTGGATAGAAACACCATGAATGTGAAAATACCACCAATATTTTGCCGTTAAAAAAAACTAGAATGTTCTTTGGAATCAGTGAAATATCAAAAATTTGGGGTTTTTTTCTACAGTCTGTGCACCTTCTTTCAGGCCCCCCATGTTGCTTGTAGTATCAACCTGTGTGATTCTAGTTTAATAGATTCAAGTCTTGCAGTGCAATATCCACGTGTCTCTCTGATCAATGGGAAGTTATGTTCAACCCAGAAACACTGTCATTTACTTCTCCATAATGACTTCTGCCCAAAATAAAAACTTTAGAATATGAGACAAAGCATCCTGTGTTAAACAATCAAATGAACCCAACATGGAGAATTCCAGTGTGGTTTCAGCACTCAGGAGGGCATTGTCTCCTACTGTTGTTCATGGAAGGACCACAGGCCTAGCTGTTAGCATTTAGCTTTCCTTGGCCTTAAAAGGAATTTCTCAGGGCTGGCAAGTTGGGTTAGATTCTAAGAGAATTTTGTCTTTGACAAACTACCATTTTTAGCATAAAATCTGGCCATGGCTATAAGTTTCAATGTGCGTACAACTGATTTGAGATTATTTTTTCTTTGTTTTTCTCTTTGACATTGGCTGGAA